CGGTAAAGCGAACAATCATATCCCCACCCACACCGACACCAACACCCACACGCCACACCCACACCCACACCCCACACCCACACCCCACACCCACACCCACGCCCACATCCGATATGCAATCATAATCCTCATTGAACATATCCCAACTATCCGTAAAAATAAATTGAAATTCCTCCATAGTGATGGGAGTGATGATATTAAAGATTCATCACTGTATAAAGAAATTGAAAGTTTTAAACGTACACTTGTAAAGCATGTGCTATAAAAAAAACAATTTATAAACTTATATTTTTTGAAATTAATCAAGTTAATAATCTTCATCATCATGTTCAACTGTTACCAATACCATCTAAATTATTAAAAAATGATGGAAATGGTGAAAATAAATTTACAAAAGCATTAAATGGGAATAATAAAGTTATTTATATTGTTCAACTTAAAGATGAAACTAAAAATGTTGATTTACAATTCTGTCGTAGAGTTTTAGCCTATGTATTAAAATGCCCTAAAAGAACGTATTGGAAAAAATGTCATTAACTAAAAGCTAAAAAAATTAAAGATTATGAAAATTTTAAACTTTTTTTTTTATAAAGATTATGATTTTACCATAGAATAAAATAAATAACAATGAAGAAAATATCTCACAAGTGTACTTATTATTTAGAAGTATATAATGAAAATTGATGTCCTAGATAAACGATGTAATACAGGTTTTTTCCTTTATTTTTTTGCATTTTTTAAATTCATTTCTTCAACACATCGTTCACATAAACAATCGAAAAACCATTCTTTTAAAAGTTTTTGTCTTATTTCTAAATCATCATTAATAGCATTAGCATAATTTATACATAATTCTTCATTTTTTTTAATATTTTTTAAAAGTTTAAAAATAATGTTTGCTCCCTTTTCAATATTAATTAAGTTTGGATTGCATGAATGATTAAAAAATGAAGCTGATGGATATAATGAATATCCAAAGAATTCTTTATTTCCATCTGGTTCATCATCAATTGACCAAATTCCATAAACATTAGTTAAATTTTTACCAGTGATTGAGCGAATTATAGATGGAATAATATATGATTGAAGTTTTTCCAATGTGGAAATTTTTAAGAATTTATAAATTTTATTAGTATAAGAATGAAGTAAATAAGGATATTTAGAAATTTTTTCAATATCATTTGATTGAAGAAGTTGAAAAATTTCAAGTTCCGATGAGGATAAGGGTACTGATGATGATAACTTATTGTTTTCATAATTATCACGTTTATACATTTGAAATAGTATTCCAATAATATATTTAATTTCCATATATTCATTTTCATTAATTTTAGGAATTAAATAAATCAAATTATTAAAGTTTTTTCTTTGTTTTGGTT